TTGGGGTAGTCCTCGACTTATAACAGTTCATTTACTGACCAAACTGAAAAAAAGACTTAAGACCATTTTTCAAACTTACAACCTATGGTCATGTGATCAAAATTCAGACACTTGGCAATTAGTTCATATTTATGACTGTTGCAGTGTCCCAGGGTCATGTGATCACCTTTTGCGACCTTTTGACAAGCAAAGTCAATGGGGAAGCCAGATTTGCAACAATCTTGTTACTATCTTAACAACTGCAGTGTTTCACTTAACAACTGTGGCAAGAAAGGTCATAAAATGGGGCAAAACTCACCTAACAAATGTCTCACTTAGCAACAGAAATTTTGGGCTCAGTTGTAGCTATAACAGTATAGAGCACATCTATGTTGGAAAGTTCTCTTTAAAGAAATAAGAGGATGAAAGGTTCACATCCACAGTTTTTGAACTGTGCAAATCATTTCTAAAAGGCTAGTATTCAACAGTGACCTCTGGATTCTCATATCCATGTTTTGGAAAGGACATTGAGAACCAACAGAAGGGCAAGAAATGGGACTGTGCAAATGACTCAATCATATCAGAATCAATATCGGCAGTGGAATATCTTTTGTAGCGGGATCTCTGTTTGCTTTAATTCAATTATTTTTTTTAATTAAAAATTGAAGGTGTGCATTGTGATCATTGTATCATGTGTCTGACTAATTAAACACTTCAAAGAACTTTCAGGCATGGTTTAACCTAAAAAGCCTTTATTAGTGTAAAGGAGTGTAAAGGAGTGTCAGCACAGCATGGAGAATGCCAAGATCTGAATTTCCCTTCCTTTGCACATAACATTCCAGGCATTTCCCTTCCCCTATTTTGGGGTCATGATTCACATCTTCCAATTAACCTGGAGGGCAAAGATTCACTTCCGTTCCACAAGCCTTTCTCTCCTCTCTCATTCTCATCTGAATTAACTCTAAAAGTACCAGACAGTTCTGCATATTTTGTCAAGGCAAGAATATTCAATATTAGCAGCGTTGACACATTGCTTCAGAGGGAAATAGAAAAAGGAGCCCAACAACTTATGGCGTTAATACAAAATGCAATTTTTTTCTTAACTTTGCAATGCCCCTCTTGGATTTCCCCCATTGTAGGCTATTATATCATACATTCTGTGTGCAGTTACACAATGTATGTATATATTGATTTATTTCCATTTATATGATCACCTGTCTCATCAGTGCAACTCTGGGCCAATGCTTCAAGTGACTTCATTTTTGTCTATGGTTTTCGTGTCCATAAAATCCATACATTTCTGGTTAGGGGGAATTAATACTAAACAAATTAACCACATTCATACTGTATATCGTGTTGAGTCAGAGTAATATGTCAGTTCATTGTTGGTTTATTTAAGTTTTCTAGTTAGGCTAGGCAGGGGTAGGCAACCTTGGCTCTTTTATGACTCGTGGACTTCAACTCTCAGAATTCCTGAGCCAGCCAAATGGAGCTTTCCAAATGGAGAATATCCATTATTTTCCTGAACAGACAACACAGCCTTAAAAATCAGATTGGAATGTAGAACTAAGAATGACAACTGTTTGCTAAGCAGTTGAGTTAATGCTCCACATTAAACCATTCTTGCGGCTTACTATTCCCATGTATTGCAGCCTTGGTGTCTATGCCGGACCAATTCAAAAGACTTTAATAAAGTGGCTAATCAATAATATAAAACAATAATATAAAACAAAGAGCAGTAATGCAGAAGAATCAGCAATGATAAATGGAGCACAGCCCTAAATGCATGCTGAAGTACCAATGTTAATTAAAACAACAACAACAACAATAATAATAATAATAATAATATAAATATAAATAAAAAAGTTGAAAGGGAACTTGAAGGTTATCTAGTCCAACCCCCTGCTCAGGCAGGAAACCCTTTACCATTTCAGACAAATGGCTGTCCTGTCTCTTCTTAAAAACTTCAAATTATCTAACTATGAATGAGAGTATGAGGCAGGTAGTATCAGATATAGCCACATATATACTGTCATGCACATTACCTCCGAAGAAGGTAGAGCCTCAACAATATTATTTAAATTGTTAGGTTTGTAGAGAAGAAAATGGTGCAGATTTAAAATAGGTTAGCCTTTGATGCCATCTTAAAGACCAGAGGTCCCCAACCTTTTGGGCACCAGGGACCGGTTCCATGGAGAGAAGTTTTCCCGCAGACCGAAGGGTGCGTGGTTTTGTGTGCTTCCTGCATTTTGCAGATGGGGCTTTGCTTATTTGTGCAGACCAGTTGCTGGCATGCTGCAGCCTGGTACTGGTCCATGGACCGGGGGTTGGGAACCCCTGTTAAAGACCATGTTTTCTAAGTGCATGTAATTGCATCTTTTGGTAGACTGTCTAAGGACAATACCACCAACTGTGGAAAACAGACAAATAACAGTCAGGTGCGTGAAACTGATAGACCCTCCAAGCGGCTTCGAAGGAAAAGAAAGCTGCTTTTAGATTCTGAAGAGGAAGAAGAAAATGCAGATGAAGAAGAGGTAAGTAAATGTGATTTCTTTAACTGAAAGAGTAGCCAGAAGGCTATAATGAAACTTGTAGTGATAAGAATTTGCCACATAAATTCAATCAATCCTTTTATATTTATAATATTTTTAGAACTATTAACTATTATTTATTGTGTCAAACAAAACAAAACAAAATATACACATTGTATACATATAAATACGATAACATTGTGATTTTACATTAAAACAAAAGGGAACAAAGAAGATTATTGGAAATCTTGCTTTGCTTTTTATCAGAAAAAAATATTGCAAAATCAGATTTTTAAAAGTAACACATACCACTATTTCACTACTGGAAATTAGAAATTAGTTGACATGTTGAAATTTACCATTCAGAGAATACTACTGCACTAGAAAGTTTAAAATGGTTATTTGTTCTAAATGGCAGATTATATATATAATATATTTAGTTTATTTGTTTCATTTATATACAATATATCTGTTGGTAGTTTAAAATACTAAGCAAAAAATAAATATTGCAAAAGAGTGAAAATGACATTCAACTATATATGAAAAATGTCAGTGTATTTTCATCTGGTTTGTGTTATCTAGGAAAAGAATAAATTGAAAAACCGCAGGAATGCAAAATCAGTGAAGCAAGGTAAGGGTGCAAAACTGATCTCTAATTGTTCTATGACAAAAAGATCCTGGAGCACAGGGGAACTACCAGAGGACTGGAAAAGAGCTGATGTAGTTCCCATCCTCAAAAAAGGAAAAAAAATGGACCCAGGAAATTACAGACCTATCAGCCTGACCTCAATACCTGGGAAGATCCTGGAAAAGATAATCAAACAACGAATCAACGAACACCTAGAGGCAAACAAAGTCATTACTAAAAG